TTATTCTATATCTATAAAAGGCTAAATTGACTCGCGCATGATGATTCATATGAAGCTCTCGCCGGTGCCAATCGCACGGGTGTGTTTTGATCTGTCATTGTCAATCATGAATTTGGTTGATGCTTCTACTATATAGAAAGGGTGAATAGCGATATTAAAATATTTCTTCTAATTAATTTCCTTTCAATGTGCACGAATCCGTGCACCGGCACACTAGTGTATTTATAAAGCAAGGTGTGAAATCTTTGTGATGTTGCATGTGCTGCCCACTAGGGGGCAGCAGCAAACATGTTCTGTTGGTGGTGCTTGCCCTTATATCCCCAATGCTGGTCCATTGGACACATGGTAATTTGGGGATATATTTTGCAGGGAGGGAACCAAAATAAAGAGGGTGTAAATCCGTCTTTATATGTAGGCAGATATGGTATGAGAGCTAGGGAGCTGCCTGTGCGTGTGTTTGGGTGGCAAGCCTGAGGCTTGAGCCCTGGCTGTGATCTGCCCTGCTTGTCCTCCACAGAACAACCCTCCAGGCGTGCTCGCCCTGCTGGACGAGGAGTGCTGGTTCCCCAAAGCCACAGACAAGTCCTTCGTGGAGAAGCTGTGCTCAGAGCAGGGCAACCACCCTAAGTTCCAGAAGCCCAAGCAGCTCAAGGACAAAACCGAGTTCTCCATCATCCACTATGCTGGGAAGGTACCCACTGCGTGTCCCAGGGGTCTGTCTGTCCCGGGGGCCTCAGGAGGGGTGCCAGAGCAAGAGCAGTTTGGGATTGGCAGAACCCAAAGGCGTCTGGTGTAAATCAAATCCCAAGCAAGGCTATTTATGATTGTTGTCTAAGTGTCTGGAGGGAACAAGATATATATAAAATCCAACCATGGTGGCCAGCTAGTTCTTTCTTGTATAGACTCTAAATCCTTCCTGCTGCAGGGTAAACCCAGCAGGAAGAGCCAACCAGAATGGAGTGACCAATAAACCCAATTTTGGGTTCGCAAGAATCTCCTTTATCATGGCCTTGGGTTTGCCATTGGCAGCCTATTCCGTCCAGAGAAATCTGTGATGGTGTCACCTTGTTGTTGTCAACTCCTCTTCTTCCTCCTCCTCCTCCTTCTCTCCATCATCATCATCATGCTTCATGGCTGTTAATGTACAGAACCTTCCCCTGTGCCTCCTGGGTAATTTAGAAAGACATAACTTGGTTTGGCTTACAGAAACTTAGAGCATTTTTATTGACGCTCCAGAATCCCCACTGCATCACGGGAACAGGCAATGCCCTAAGTCAGGGGTTGGAAAACTATAGTCCATGCACCAAATCTGACCCACAGCCTATTTTTGTAAATAAAGCTTTATTGGCACCCATTTGATTACATAACATCTGTGGCTGTCTTTATGCTACAACGATAGAGTTGAGTGGCTGTGACAGACGGTATGGCCTGCAAAACTGAAAATCTGGGCCTTTACAAAAAAAAGTTTGCTAGCTCCTACCCTATCCTCAAGGGAGCATCATTCCTTTAGGTGCAGAGAGATAATGCTTTTCTTTTCCCCACTTGACAGTTGGTTTCTTTTTAGTCCTCTTTCAGATCAGGCCTGGCCATCACCATAACAACCCACATCCCGTAAGAACCCACCAGAGATATTTTACGAGTTGCTTCCATGTCATAGTCACAATCATAAAATGAAGGCTTGCCCTGGCTGGTTTTTCTCAGTGGTTCGAGCATCAGCCCATGTACCTGGGTTGCTGGTTCAATCCCTGGCCACGGTCGGGGCGCATGCAGGAGGCAACCTATCGATGTGTCTCTCTCACATTGATGTTTCTCTCCCTCTCTCTCTCCTTCCCTCCCTTACACTCTCAAAAAAAAATCAATGGAAAAAATATTCTCAGGTGAGGATTAACAAAAATAAATAATAAAAAATAAATAAAGTGAAGGCTTTGGCCACGGTCAGTATTCGAGTTGGGAATTTACATCCATGTATCAAAATCTCCCAGTTACAAAACTTATGTTTATCAGAGAGAGGAGAAGAGGTCCGCAAACAATTTAAAAACTGGAATTGTTGTCGAGCCTTCTCTAGATGAGGGAGAACTTTCATGTGAGGAAGACATTTACCATCAGCCAAGCTCTTCACCACTCGGAGGGCAACCGGCATCTTCCCAGGCTCTGGAGGCTGCCAGAGAAGGGTTATTAGGAGAATGCAAGGAATAGAGACAAGGCCTTCCAGCAGTGGCTGCCATTGGCTGGTGCCCTACTGTGCACAGGGCCCTTTAAAGTCCTGATCTGCTGGTCTCTTCGTTGGAGTTAGGGATTCTCACCATGGCAGCTGCTAATGTCATTTCCTCGCTGACCTTGGACGATCTGGGAGGGAAACGGGAGGACTCCGGCCCTGCCCTTAGTTCATAACTGACCGGAGGGTGGCTCTTGGCAGGTGGACTACAATGCGACTGCCTGGCTGACCAAGAACATGGACCCGCTGAATGACAATGTGACTGCCCTCCTCAACGCCTCTTCAGACAAGTTTGTGGCCGACCTGTGGAAGGACGGTAAGGCCCCACCTGCTGGAGCTGGAGAGCTGGGCACCAGAGTCCTCCCCTCCTCCAGCTGCCCCCAATGCCCACACCTGCTCCCAGGAGGGGCGGCCACATGGGGCTGCAGGAGAGGGCCATGTTGGCAGGTGCTAGTGACATCTTGTTGACACATTCAACCACCTCAGAGCCCCTTAACCCCACACCTGGGCCCCAGGGAGAAGGTCTGCGATCAGGGCAGATGGAGGAAGTAGCGTCCGAGGCACGATGAGTGAGAGTGCCCCATCCAGAGTCGGAAAGACTGAACTCCTGTCTCACCCCTGCCACACACTTTCCGTCACTCGGGAGCTCTCAGATTCCCCAAGTAGATAATAGCTGGAAAGCAATCCCCTTACCTAGTGCTAGAGGGAAGGCATTGGCAGCAGAGAGAAGAATGGGGGCCCTGGGTGGGCCAGAGGCTGATGCCGCCCTCAATGTGCCCCCCAGTGGACCGTATCGTGGGGCTGGACCAGATGGCCAAGATGACGGAGAGCTCGCTGCCCAGCGCCTCCAAGACCAAGAAGGGCATGTTCCGCACGGTGGGGCAGCTGTACAAGGAGCAGCTGGGGAAGCTGATGACCACGCTGCGCAACACCACGCCCAACTTCGTGCGCTGCATCATCCCCAACCACGAGAAGAGGGTGAGGCCGCCCACTGGCTGCTGCTGCAGGGGGGTGGGGGTCAGAACGTCCCCCGGGGACATCACCAGGTCTACAGGGAATGGGGAAGGCAGGCAGGGGTAGAGGGGCAAGAAGAAAGCCTGACCCCCCACCACCCCAAGGGCTCCATCTGACATGGTGGAAGGTTGGCTGAATTTGGGGTCCATTCCCCATCCTGGAGGCAAAAGAAGACAGGGAGGAAGGGAGACTGTGTCCAGACACTTGCAGCCCTGGAATTGCTGTCCAAGGGATCAAATCACCACAAATTCATCATTCCAGTTGATATTTCCTGAGTTCCTGCCTGTGCTGGGGAGACAGTGCTGGAAAGGTTGTTGTCCTCACCTGCAGATTTCTTGTAGTCTAGGGCAGGGGTGTTCAGCTGGGGGCAGTTGTGCCTCTACCCATCTGGCCCCGTCTCCTCACCTGCAGATTTCTTGTAGTCTAGGGCAGGGGTGCTCAGCTGGGGGCAGTTGTGCCCCTACCCAGGGGACATTTGTGGTTGTCATACCTGGGAGGGGGCGACTACAGGCATCCAGTGCGTAGAGGCCAGGTCTGTGCTAAACATCCCACAGTGCGCAGGGCATCCCACGACAGAGAAGGATCCTACCCAGTGTGTCAGTAGTGCTCAGGTGGCGGGAGATCCATGGGCGAGGCAGACACACAAGCTGGTAACCATGGTGCAATGTGCTAAATTATGAGAACTCCAAACAGCGGGGGCTCCTGCTCCAGCTCCTCAAGGCTGAGAGGAAGCTTCCTAGAGAATGTGCACGTTGAGAGGCATCGACTTGGTGAAGTGGAGGGGTGGCTGGGGAGGGCATCCTAGGCAGAGGGACCAGTACAACAAAAGTGTGGAGGTAACAAATGAAGCATCTTGGCAAGAAAACGCTAGGTACGTGGTTGCATGTTGATGTGTGATGGTGTGAGGCAGGGATTGGGAAGAGCTGGGGCTGAACAGTATCGGGGGTTAGATTGGGGCGTTCCTGTGGGTGGACCAGAGCCTGGCCTTCCTTCTGTGATACCACTGGGGCTTTAAAAGCAGGGGTATACCATGGTGCAATGTGCTAAATTATGAGAACTCCAAACGGCGGGGAGTCATGATCAGGTTTACACCTTAGAAACCAAATGAGGGGATGAGAAGAGAGGCAGGGCTGGGGGTGAGAAGACCAGGTAGGAGGCTGTGGTGGGCTTTGTCTGGGCAGGAGAAGATGGTGGTGAGTGGATGGCAGTGACGATGGCCAATGGAGAGAAATGGGTGGATTGGGAGATGCTCAAAAGGTAGGAGCTTTAGAACTGGTGATGGACAGGAAGTGAGGAAGAGGAAGGTGACAAAGAAGAAGCCCCAGTGTCCAGCTAGGTGATGCTAGTGCCACCAAGTACAAGCGAGAGATCACCTGAACCCTCAGCTGAGACCTCACCGGGTTGATCCTGGTGGCCTGGTGAGGGGGGTCACCCAGGCCTGAGACTCGGGGCTTGCTGCTCCCTGAGTCCCAGCCCCGGTGGCCCATTGCCCTTTCCACCTTTGCAGTCCGGCAAGCTGGATGCCTTTCTGGTGCTGGAGCAGCTGCGGTGCAACGGGGTGCTAGAAGGCATCCGCATCTGCCGCCAGGGCTTCCCCAACAGGATCGTCTTCCAGGAGTTCCGCCAACGGTGAGCCCGCCAGGGCAGGCACCGGTGGGGCAGTGGGTGAGCAGGTGGTGGAGGGAGGGATGCTGGAGAGGCGCTCGGTTGGTGACTTCTCTCCTGTGTCTCAAGCTACGAGATCCTGGCCGCGAATGCCATTCCCAAAGGCTTCATGGACGGGAAGCAGGCCTGCATCCTCATGGTGAGCCTAGCCCCGCCCCGCCCTGCCCCGGAAATCCAGCTGCAGCCCTCCCCGGCTCTGGTGGCACTGCCAGGAGCTGCTTTGGGTGTGACCTCCCTGACACAGTGCTTAACCCCTGGCCACATGGCACAGCTGAGAATGGGAACTCTTGTCTTCCTTCCTTCTGCAGATCAAAGCCCTAGAACTCGACCCCAACTTGTACAGGATCGGGCAGAGCAAAATCTTCTTCAGAACCGGGGTCCTGGCCCACCTGGAAGAGGAGCGAGACTTGAAGATCACCGACGTCATCATGGCTTTCCAGGCCATGTGTCGCGGCTACCTGGCCAGAAAGTAAGGACCCGCCTACTGTCACCTCCCCACACACACAGATGGGAGACACACACTTTCAGGGAGCTTGCTGGCCTCGTGTTCTTCTTTTTTTAAAGTATATTTTTATTGACTTAAGAGAATAAGGGATAGGGGGAGAGAGAGAGAGAGAGAGAGAGAGAGAGAGAGAGAGAGAGAGAGAGAAAGAAACATCAATGATGAGAGAGAATCATTAATCGGCTGCCTCCTGCACGCCCCACACTGGGGATAAAACCTGCTACCCAGGCATGTGCTCTGACCTGGAATTGAACCGTGACCTCCTGGTTCATAGGTCGACACTCAACCTCTGAGCCACACCTGCCGGGCTGGCCACATGTTCTGATTCCCTGACTCTCATAGGCCATCTGCTTTCAGATGCGCCACTGATTGGATGGCAGCGTTTTCTTGGGGGGAAGAAATGCTACCGTTTAATATAAGCACTGGTTATGAGGGCAGGTGGGAAGGTTAAGACCATGACTCTAGAGCGTTAGACCTCAGTTCTCATCCTGGCTCCCCCACCTATTTGCTGATGGGCCTTGGGCAAGTTACTCGACCTCTCTGAGCCTCAGGTCTCTCCTCTGGAAAATAGCATATTCATTCCTGCCTCGTGGAATTGTTTACGAGTCAGTGAAATATTTCCTGAAAAGGGTTGAGAACAGTGCCTGGTTATCATCTTGGAAGTGTGAGACTATGAGTAGGTACCCGAGGAAAGAGTCTTTGGCTGTATCTGTAGCCTTGTGTCCAGATGGGGTTCATCAGGCAGGGTCTTGGAAGGTCTGATGCCCCTTCTGTTTTGGGAAGCCTGGGGCCATGTGCGGGCCAGGGTCCTTGAAAGTTACACCTTTTGGTGGCAGGAACTGGTGGAGCCGCTCTGTCCGGGGTTATGTCATCATGAATGAAGGCTCCTGCTGTCATCTGCAGAGCCCTGATCGTGTCAAGCTGATTCAGTGCCAAGGGGACCCAAGATGGTCAAGGCCAGATCTAGGGAGCTCTTGGTCCAGGGACAGACCTAGCTTAAGTTTCATAATTCTGTTACCACCCCAACCCCCAACCTGCCTCCAGACTACTGAGGGCAGTTTTATTCTTCAAGTTCACCCACGTTCAAGATGGCAGAGAGAAGAGGATTGTGCTCACTGTTCATGGTTTCTCAAACCTAACAGCCCTTAAACAAGAAGCGTGCTAGTTCTAGGTCAGGTTTGAGATTTCTAAAATACACCTGAGGAAGGAATAGGTTTGTCAGACACTCAGCTTTGAGGAAGACGTGGCACAGCTGGGAGTGAGAAGGGTTCCCCTAGGAATGATGTAGCAGGGACCGATTTCCTCGATGTTTGGATCACAGCTCTGGTTCCAGGGTATTGTGTGAGCCTTGGGTCTCCCGTGCCGGCTGGGAAAGGCTCTTGTCTCCATATTATCTGAGTGGTCTGTGCCGAGACAGTATCCCTGTGCTGATGCTCAGAGCCCCTGGAAGAACCTGAGCTGGAGAAAAGGGGGGTTGTCCTCATGCAAGTCACAAAATCACAAGCAAAACCGACGTGTCTTGCTTTCAGGATGCTGCAGGGTGGGATGCTGTGACCACAAAGTGAGACATGTGTCGGGTGACCAGGGCTTCTCACGGCTCCCTGCCCCTTCCCCCAGGGCCTTTGCCAAGAGGCAGCAGCAGCTGACAGCCATGAAGGTGATTCAGAGGAACTGTGCCGCCTACCTCAAGCTGCGCAACTGGCAGTGGTGGAGGCTCTTCACCAAGGTGAGTGCTCCGGCCCCACCCAGCTCTCAGGACCCCCAGCCCTGGTTCTTCACTCCAGATGCTCCAGATGTGGGACTGGAGATGGTTGTCAGTGGGTGTGCAGCTGAGAGCTTGAGATCAAGCCTGGCCTGTTGGTGATGCTCCAGGCAGGCCTGTCTCCGGTGCATCTGATGAAGGCCCACCCTCCTTGGCACCGGGGTTACAGCCATGACCTTAACACAGATCCGGAGAATTTCATCACCACAAGGATCCCTCACAGTGCCCTTCAATAACCATGCCCATTTCTTTTCTAGCCACACCTACTTTCTTCCATAGCCACACCCATTTCCTTCATAGCCCTAAGTCTAGAATGTTTAGCAGCATCCCTGGCCTCTGCCCACTAGATGCCGGGAGCACCCCTGCCCCAGTTGTGACAGCTGAAACTGTCTCCAGAAATTGCCACACGTCCCCTTGGGGTGGGGTAAAATTGGCCCTGGCTGAGAAGCACTGATCTGCTTTTATTACAAGACTGTACCCCTTTTGCCATGAAAATAAATGCTGCGCTGACTGTGTGTGCAGGTGAAGCCCCTGCTGCAGGTGACGCGGCAGGAGGAGGAGATGCAGGCCAAGGAGGATGAGCTGCAGAAGACCAAGGAGCGGCAGCAGAAGGCAGAGAGCGAGCTCAAGGAGCTGGAGCAGAAGCACTCGCAGGTGCTTGGCAGGGAGCGTGACGGGGGCTGCGAGGGAGGCAGGATGCCTGCCCCTGGGGGACTCACTGGCTGCCTCCCACCCCTGCGTGCAGCTGGCCGAGGAGAAGAACCTGCTGCAGGAGCAGCTGCAGGCGGAGACGGAGCTGTACGCTGAGGCCGAGGAGATGCGGGTCCGGCTGGCGGCCAAGAAGCAGGAGCTGGAGGAGATCCTGCATGAGATGGAGGCCCGCCTGGAGGAGGAGGAAGACCGGGGCCAGCAGCTGCAGGCAGAGAGGAAGAAGATGGCCCAGCAGATGCTGGTAAGGCACTGGAGGGGCTGACCTTCCCTGCAGGCAGGCCTGTGTGGCCCGTCTGATGATATATGTCCCCACTGCACAGATAAAGAGACTAAGGCTTGGGAGGGAACAGCCACCTGTGCACACAGGTCTCCCTGAAGCCCGCTCTGCTCTGCCCTGCCTTTCGCGTGCTTTTATTTTTTCTCCTAATAGCAGCTGTGTGTGAGGGGTAGTTATATTGGTGCAGACAAAACACCCAAAATAAACGTTTATTTCACATAGTTAGGAATCTGACAGTGGCTTCGATAGAAGGGTCTGGCTTAGCATCTCTCATGAAGTTACAGTCAAGATGTCGGCTGGGCTGCAGTCATCTGAAGGCTTGACTGGGGCTGGAGGACCCACTTCTACGTGACTCACTCACGTGGCTGTAGGCGGGAGACCTCAGTTCCTCACCTTGTGAGCTTCTCCACGCGGCTGCTTGAGTGTCCTCACAACTTGGCAGCTGGCTTCCCCCAGAAGGAGTGAGTCGGGAGAGGAGAGAGAGCAGGGGAGGAAGGCACAGTGCCTTTTATAGCCTGATTGCTGATGTTACACTCCATCACTTCCTCTTGATTTTATTTGTTAGAAGCAAGTCACTAAGCCCTGCCCACACTCAAGGGGAGAGGAATTAGGCTCCACCTTGGAAAGGAAGAGTGTAATTGGTGGACGCACTTTAAAACCACCATGGTGCCTACTCTCCCCATTTTATAGATGAGGGGACTGAGGGTCCGTGAAGCAAACCTTAATTTCCAATGAAAGGAGATTGCAGAGCACTGGGGTCATCAGGCCCAGCCTGTGTCAGTCCCCAGGGCTCCAGGAGAGTGACTTTTAAACAAGGCTGTGATTCTTTTCCCACAAGGACCTGGAGGAACAGCTGGAGGAGGAGGAAGCTGCGAGGCAGAAGCTGCAACTTGAAAAGGTCACGGCCGAGGCCAAGATCAAGAAACTGGAGGATGACATCCTGGTCATGGATGATCAGAACAACAAACTGTCAAAAGTGAGTGGGATCGAGCATCTGCATTCCAATGACAGGCTCACCAGGGACAAGGGTTTCAGATGATGTTTCTGTTTTAGCCAAATGAAAGGTATTGAAGGCCAAGCAAAGGTTTATCTCTGACAGGGTGGCTCTGTGACCGCCCTGTGGATGCGGGTGTGCCATGGACTGGGTCCTGGCAGGATCACCAGCACCAGGGCTGCCACGGAGCAAGTCTCAGCAGCACCATGACCAATGGAGCCCCCAAGGTGTGCAGAGGAGGCCAAGGTGCCTGCGTCCCTGGGCCCTCTCCCACATTCTCATGGGCCCCCTCCAGTTAGGGACAGGGTGACCAGCTGTCCTGATTTGCCTGGGATGGAGGGGCTTCTGGGATGTGGAACTTCCAGCACCAAAAGCGGAAAAGTCCCAGTGCCAAACAGGATGAGTCAGTCACCCTCGTCGGTAACTTCTAACCAGCCCCGCGGAGGGCAGGCTCCTTTTAGTTCTTTCAGCCAGATGTCAGCAGGGCACCTCCATGAGCCAGGCCCCGTTAGGTGCAGGGCGTGTGTGGTGAGAGAGGACCATGCCCTTGTGGGGCTTATATTCTAGTGTTACAGCAAATAGATCATCACACACATAACTAGTAATAACCATTGTGATCGGGGTTCTGAAGGGAGAGAGGTTATTCAGGGAAGGCTTCCTGGAGGAAGTGGCATGTAAGTGGAAACCTAAAGACTGAGGTGCAGTTACAGGGAGAGGAGGTGGAGGAGCACCCCAGGCAGATGGCTCCATCTGGGCAAAGGCCCTGAGGCAGGGAAGAGCTGGCATGTGATAGGAAGGGAACGAGGGCCCCATTGGCTGGCACATTGAAGTATGAGAGGCATAGTGACGTGAGATGAGAAGTGGTGGACTTTTGAAAATTAAGGAACTTCTCTTCACCGTTTCAAACTCGAGGCTGTATTTGGTTATCATGTGGGTTTTCAACTATTTATCTGGAAATCACTAAAAGTGAGACATAGATCCTGGAAGGAAAAATAAAAATGACCAATGGTGCTTCTTTTTCTTTCCCCAAAAAGGAGCGAAAACTCCTTGAAGAGAGGATTAGTGACTTAACGACGAATCTTGCAGAAGAGGAAGAAAAGGCCAAGAACCTCACCAAGCTGAAAAATAAGCACGAATCTATGATTTCAGAACTGGAAGGTAAACCGGCTACCCAAAGCAGCTTTGAACCGGCATTTTAAAACTAGGGAAATCAGAGAGGAAACTTCAGAATGGCAGATTATTTCAAGAGAGGCAAATCCTCTCCAAGCTCCCCAGTCTCCCTTAGTCAACATCCTGTATCAGTGACGGCGAACCTTTTGAGCTCAGCGTGTCAGCATTTTGAAAAAACCCTAACTTAACTCTGGTGCCGTGTCACATATAGAAATTTTTTGATATTTGCAACCATAGTAAAACAAAGATTTATATTTTTGATATTTATTTTATATATTTAAATGCCATTTAACAAAGAAAAATCAACCAAAAAAATGAGTTCACGTGTCACCTCTGACACGTGTGTCATAGGTTCGCCATCACTGTCCTATATAATAAAGAGGTAATATGCTAATTAGACTGAACAGCAGAACAACTGTCCAGACAACCTTCTGGACAAAGCCGGGGCTGCAAGGGCCGAGCCCCTTGCACAGATTTTGTGCATCAGGCCTCTAGTACATTAATAATCAAAGGCCCTTTCCATCAGGACTGACAGTTCTTCGTTGAGATAGTGGCGCGGGCGGGGCTGTTACCAGCGAGGGATGTGTGTGCATGTGCGTGCCTTTCCTGTGTGTGAAAGGCCTCAGCAGAAAGGCTCATCCTCCGGGAGTCCTTCTGGTGGCTTCCGCCTCCTAAAGGGCCCCTGGCTTTGTCTAGTGCGGCTGAAGAAGGAGGAGAAGAACCGGCAGGAGCTGGAGAAGCTGAAACGGAAGCTGGAGGGAGAGGCCAGCGATTTCCACGAGCAGATCGCAGACCTGCAGGCGCAGATTGCGGAGCTCAAGATGCAGCTGGCCAAGAAGGAGGAGGAGCTGCAGGCGGCCCTGGCCAGGTAGTGGGGCCACGGCCTGTGTGTTCCTGGGCCCTGCCAATCCAGTGGCCCCAGTCTTCCTCCTCCTCCAGGCAGGCCTCCATCTAATGCAAGGCCAGAAGCACGCCTTGACGTTCCTCTCTTCCCTCCAACCCATCCCTCTTTGTGTCTCCCATGGTGTCTCTCTTTTGGACGCCCAGGCCTTCCTCGTCCACACCCCAGTCCTGCATTTCCAGTTGACCACAGAGGCCCTTCTCTGGCACCTCCCACGCCACATCGGAGGCTGGAATGGCCCTCCTCTCCCTCCAGCCCTCCTTCGAAGGTCTCCCTTTTGTGAATGCCAGGCCCCTCCCTCGATTTTGCCCTCCCTGCTCCTCCCACAGCCAGCAGGCAGCAGCCCTCAGGTTCTGCCGGCCCTTTGCCATGAGCCCCTCCTCCCACTCTGAGCTGGCTTCACACCAGTGGCCCCACACTGGCAGCAGACTCACCTGCTCGCTGTGTGCTAAGCTCTTTTGAAGCAATATCTTCACAGACACCTGGCCAGGTATGCCGCTGCTTTCTCCAGTTCACTGGGGAGGAAGCTGAGCCAGGGGAGGTGAAGGAGCGTGTGACTGTCACCCCGCTTTTGAGAGGCAGAGCTGGGATTTGAGCCCCAAAGCTTTCTGCTGAGCCCCTGGTCCTGTTGCATGACTGTTAGAGTGATGGACCAGAAACATCACTTTGGGTCATAAACCTACTCAAGCTGTGCTGGCTTGTGCAGGAAACGCAGGTCTTAGCCTGGTACTCAGTGCCCACCTGCCCTCCGCAGTCTGACCTTAACCCAACCATTTTGCTTCCTCTCTCACTGCTGCCCATTCACAAGTGCAGTGCAATCGACCTACCTACCTCGCCCTGCCCTGCAGTCTTGCCACTTTGCCTTCTCTCATGCCGTTTCCTTTCCATTCCCCCTGTCCCCCCACTCCCCCCCCCCCTCCCACAGGAGGGGAC